TTTGGTTTTGTCTCAATGGACCAAGGATGCAAAAATTGAGTATTTGAACATGAATTATAATGGTACAGTTGATTCAAATTTGATTGAGCAAGCTCAGTTTGGTGCATATTGTCTTGCTTTTACTACTTTTTGCAAACAAGCTTAAAAAAAGAATGGTGTTATGGGGAAATAATGGATGACATTCTAAATTAAAAAAAAGTATCGTAGTTTTGATGTTCCTATTGGTACACCAAAGTCAGTCGTAGGTGTTCCAATTATGATGAAGAGTAAAGGTGCTCAAAAAAAGAATGACACAAAAGCTGTCAGGCGATGTTCAAAATGCAACAGTACAACTCATAATGCAAGGAATTATTTGGTAATTTCAATAACTTATATTCTGATTGTTAGAGTCAATGTCTTATTTTTTTTTATTAAACATAGTAGTTTCTATGGTATAATTTGTAGGGTGCAGAAAACGCGTCATCTAAATGAAATGTTGAGTCGGAGTCAGTGTCATTAACCGATTCTTTAAGCCAAATTAAAAAAGTATTCAATGTTTTTTTATAGAAGGCATACTATGTTTTATTAATTATGATATGTTATTATTTGTATTAAATAATAATTTATTTTTAAAAACAAAACAAGAAACGAAAAAGAAGTTGCAATGGTAAAATAAGTGTTCAAAAGAAATGTTTAGATCTAGAGAAATCATGTGGCACTAATGTGACAACGACATCACATATGGCTGTTGCAAGCACAAGCAGTCAAATCCTCCAATGTATGGACTTCAACCTTTTATGCTTGTGGTACATCCGGTAATTCATCCAATGCCCGTATAACCCATATACCCAATATATGAAATGAGTGTTGGGGAAAATTTAAAACCGTGTTTTGGTCTGTTACAACAAGTGATGAAATATGTTGGTACTTTGATTAAGTATTTTAGTAGATGCAATATGAGCACGAATGAAAAGTGTGTGTTGGAGGTGCTTTTTAGTGGTATCACACGGGTAAGGTTTGAATACCTCCATCTCTATCTATTTTTTGCATCATAATATACCATTTTTAATTGAAATGGGTATTAAAAAATATTTTGGTTTTGAAATAGAAGTCAAATTAAAACAGATACAAGTTATTATAATTCAGCATTCAATAACCTAATTATATGCTTGTTGTAACAGTTATATTTCCATCATATTTTAATATTTTTGCCAATTAAAGTAAATGTCGTTGAATTCTTATTAGGTTAGGCGTTAACTGTTAGTCTCTTTGTTTCCTTTCTCTCATAAGAACCTCGTAAAAAAACCTTCCTTACATGGGATATAGTGGAGATATTGCATCCATTACTTAGTTACGAGAAATGTGAAGATAAATGATCAAAATAATTCACAACAGCACACAAACTAAATTAGAATAATATCCCAATCTAATTTCACATTTTAATTGAAATGCTAACAATTTAATAACACAACATCAAAATATAAATTCTGATTCAAGTCAAATCCTAAAGATTCAATTGAAAAAATATTATTTCACTATCTTCCAATTTAATGCAAATGTAAATTAAAATTTTATGAATTTGATAAAATACAAACCCTAATCCATAATTACATGATTTTTTGGTGAATTCAATTCAATTTCAAAATTTATTAATTTCATAAATACAAACCCTAATCCCCAATTACATAATTTTATGGTGAGAATTCAAATCCATTTCAAAATTTATGAATTTCATAAAATACAAACCCTAATCCCTAATTTCATAATTTCTCGGTAATAATTATAATCAACTTCAACTTAAAATACAAATCCTTAAATCCAATTCAATAATTTATGTGAAATAACTAAAATCAAATTGATTTTGAGAAAATATACAGACTGTGATGGTATGAACAATGACCCGTGAAAGGAGACGACAACATGAAATTATTGTTTTGAACCATATAATAACAAACATGGAAAAATTTACAATCGATTTGATGAACACCACAACCAATACGAGTTAAACGAATATTTACTCTGAAAGCTAAAAATCAAACATGAACACGATTACGAAATTGGGTGAGAGGGAAGAGGTCAAATACAAATTTAGGATTTAGGGGAGAGGTCAAAATTGGGAGATGGAAAAAGAAGGATGAGTTCGAAGATCATGTTAGTGGGATTTAGGGATTTAGGGTTTTCAATTGCAATTCCGACCTCTTAAATTGGGAGAAGGAAGACGAAGAATAGGGAGGTCGAAGAACAAGTGGGTGAAATTTTGGGATTTAAGATTTTCAATTGCAATTTCGACCTCTAAAGTTGGGAGAAGGAAGAAGAACAAGTGAATTTGTTTGTCAAATAAAAACTATTATATAAAAATAAAAACTATTTTTAATTTGTAAATTATTATCGAGTTAATGGAGGACTAATATGTAGTAACTAAAAATTTCATATAAAAATAATTTACTATAAACTTCCTACACTATAAGGTTAATATGACTTAGAACTTCATTTTATTGATGGATTAAAGGGACTTCATCAAAGAAGTCAATTGTGTGACTTCACCATAGAAGCTCCCCAATCTTAACCCTTGAGTTGGCTTTGTACAAACGTTGAAACAAAGTTTGAATTGAAATTGTCTCCCTTATAATTGTAAATCCCTTATCTAACACAAGTTTGGTCATTGGAAAATCAAGACAAGATGGTTAAATTGTCTCCACAATATAAAATATTTGGATTTCATGATCTCTCATATTTTTAAAGAAGATAACACTTGTGATGATTTGGTTGTCAATATTGATTTGTCTTCTAAAATTTTTAAGTGATGCTTTATGATAGTATTAACGAAGATTCTTGTGTAACAACTAACAAACTAAGGATGTTTAAGCTTAAAGAAGAAATAAAAAGGATGAAGGATAAGAACTAAAACTCAGAGGAACATAATTTAACTCTAATATATACTAGTAAAAGATCTGTGTGTTCATACGAGTCACAAAAAATTGATATAAATATTAAATAAATATTATTTAGTTATGGTTAAAAAATGTATATAATATGAATATTAATTTAATTTATCAGGTTGTAGTAGTGGTCAGAATAGACATAAAAATTGATCTTATCGGTTGATCATAACCTGCAAGTGGGCTGAAGGATGATCTTTGACTGGATGGAAAGTTGAGGAGAAAATGGGGTTGTACCTGCAAGGCACTTTGACGATCAAGTAAGTGTGGGAGCAAAGAGATACAAGCAGAATATTAGGGTTTAAGGTGTGAGATAATAAATACACGGCCCTCACACGTGTGAGGGTTTATATAATATTCCCCCAACGCGTAACCATTGGTTCATATTTTTGGGCCTAGCTATGCAGGTTTGCAAAAAAAAGTAACTGCCAGGACTGGATCAAAATGGGCAGGTATGCATGTAAGTAGCTTTTTGTTCTGAGGAGGAGAATTACGGGAAGGTGGCCGTTTTGGTCGTTTCCTGGGTGTCTGTCCAACTCGTGTCGGGCCGACAAGAGGCATTAACTGATTTGGTCAGGTGTGGATGTCAGGCATAACTAGTCAGATGACAAGCTGTGGTCGATCAAAGTGTTGGGCCGCTGTCATCGGGTCGTGCCAAAGGAAGGAGCGGATTGGGCCAATTCTAGTAATTCGGCCAGTCCAGAACAGGAGCCCCTCAAGTTGTTACTCCTGGACATATGACTGATGACTTAGAACTAGCCCACGAAACTGGGGTGCTTGTGGGTCAACCTCGTTTGGGGAGCATGAGGAACGCTCGTTGTGTTCACCTCGTGGGGAGGTGAACAACCGAGCGTTCTTTCCGAGCAATTATTGTGTCGTATACGCATTGACCCACAAGGAGAGGAATGGTTTGGTTTCAAAATCTGGAGAGTTACCATGTCACGCCAAGTGTTCTTGTGGTCGAGGATGATCCGTTGGACTGGGTTGTGTCGGGCCCGTGGGATCACGCTTCATATTTCTACAGTCATCTAGAGGATGTTTTTACGATGGTGAACCCAGTGATGGATCATGAAGGGGCCGAGGAGGAGTGGTTGGTGTGGATCACTAGGAAGGAAAGTCGGATATATTCAAAATATGATGCTTGGTGAATTCCTATGTACGATATACTGTTCAGGGAGATGGGCTTCTGAATCCCTTTTTCAGATTTCGGAGTGGCGGTCTTCAAGCATCTTCAACTCATTCCCTCCAAGTTGCATCCGAATTTGTTCGCCTTTCTGCGGGCCTCCGAGATCGTGTGTGATTATCTGCAGGCCGAGGTCACTATTCCTCTATTCTTCTACTGCTTTCATCTTCAGAGGAGCACCTTTGGCCAGTAGTTCAGATGGGTTTCTTTGAAGCAGGCGAACGGGAAACTGTTCAAGGCTTATTTGGAATCCGTCTGTTTCTTCAAGGACAAGTATATGCTCGTTCAACCCATTTCTCAGAGGGCGTTGTTGAACGTTTTTAGGGTTTCCCCCATGCACGACGAGGATGGAGCCCCTGTTCAGAATGAGACGGGGGAGCAGGTGAACAAGCTGATGTCCAAGTTCCCTTTCCAGTGGACTATGAGGCACTTCAAGAGGGGAACTGACTCTTACGTCTGGAATAAGAAACAGATGGATCCCGAGGACCAGGCTAGCTTCGATTGTTTAGTCGCTTTTATCGTAGGGATCCCTCGTGTCCAGCATGCAGGTAGAGGAAGGAACCCGGTCACCGACAAGGACAGGGAGGTGGTGTATGAACCGAGTATGATAGGTGTCAAGGAGCTATTCCAGTATAAAAAAACAATATTAACAAAATAATCCTATTGGTTAATTTCAAATGCCACAAATCGCGATCCCATTACCCTTTTTCAGGAGATATTCAACTGTAGATAGCCACTCTAAGAAACAATCACTATCTCTTCCATTTTTCTATTTTCTTTTTCCAATTACCACTCTATCCTCATTTCGCTCCAATATATATTACCCAAACACTTCTACTCTCACCACATCTCAATTATAAAAAAAACAAATACTTCATTTTCTCTCCATCCAATTCGAAATGGCACGTACTAAACAAACTTCTCAGAAATCAACCATAGCCAAAGCCCCAAGGAAAAAACTAGCAACCAAAGTCGCTCGCAAATCTGCTCCCACCACCGGAGGAGTGAAGAAGCCACACAGGTTTCGTCCAAGAACAGTTGCTTTAAGAGATATCAGGAAGTATCAGAAGAGCAATGAGCTTTTCATCCGGAAACTTCCATTCCAAAGACTTGTTCGTGAAATTGCTCAGAATTTCAAAACTGATCTCTGATTCCAAAGCAATGTTGTATCTGCTCTTCAAGAAGTTGTTGAAGCTTATCTTGTTGGTTTTTTTTAAGACACTAACTTGTGCGCGATTCACGCAAAGACCCAATGAATTGAATCGACCCAATTCGCTTCCACCTCTAACATGACCCAATAATTATGGCCCATCGGCTATGGCCCTCCGTCGGGCACGCTTGGTCGATTGCTCCCCAGGTGCAGCAACACCAGCTCATCCTGAGTCTTACACCTGCTCGTAACGACAACTTCTTCCTTGACCTGCTTGTTGCACGCCGAGCAGGCAACTAAACTAGCGCTCATAACACATCTGCCCGTTTTGACCAGGTCCTGATAGTTACTTATTTTTGCGGACCCGAATATCTAGGCTCAAAAATAGGGACCAATGGCTACGCGTTGGGGGCATTATATAAACCCCCACACTTGTGAGGGCCATATATCCAATATTCGTACTAAAAAAACACTAATATCTTTCTTGTATCTCTTTGCACCAATTCTTTCTTGATCGTCAGAGTGTCTTGCAGATACACTACCTCATCTTCTCAACTTTCCAGTCAAACAGACGTCATCATCAAAGCCGACCTTTAGGTTTTGATCAATCGATAAGATCAGTAGGAGTGTGAAAAAATCAATTACTCTTATTCAAATTGGTATCCAAACTGTTTTATTTTTAAAAATCCAATCCAAATGCTGAAAAATGAAATCAGGTGGTCCATTTATGATTAAAATAATAATTCTTATAATTTAATCGTCGGACACCCAAATTTCATTCTCTATCATTTATCCTCTTCTCTTTTAATCTTCAAGCTAATTCTACTTTCTCACTCGTAACTTGAATTAGTTAATTATTTTCGGTTTAGCATTCAGTTTTAAATTACCTCTATTTTCAATTATCTTCAATTATCACAGTTACGAAACATATATTTCCATGTACATAAGATTTTTTAATAATATTTTTAATAAGTGACACTTATTCAGCTTATTTAATCTAAGAGAAATAAGAGAGATTCTTTCGATAAATTTTAGTTAATGTCACTGAATCATTCAACCAATTGCTAGAAGAAAATCATAAAATAGAATAAATTATAAAAAAAACATAGTTAAAAAATTGAGTAACAAAATAACTTAATTAAAAAAAAAGTTTCAGTTGAATCTTTGAATTTCAAATCAGTTTTGAAAAAAAATTGATTTTATACCATTTCTATGAAAATTTTGATTTTCAACTAATTCAAATAAAAATCTAGACATTAATATGAATCGATTTTAAATTGGACTGAATCAAATAAAAACCAATTTTTAAAAAATAAATCAGTTTAATTAAAGGAATTTTTTTTCTTCAAACTATCACTTTTTTTAATTTTTTTTTAAATAACCACTTTTTCAAAAAATTTATCAAAATGATCACTTTTCAAACAAAAAAAAACACCACACAGAAGAGTAGTCACTCTGTGTGACGTATGGATTTATTTTAAGAGGAGGCGCCACACTCCATGACTTGTCCTCCTCTGTAAAGCTATGAAGTGTGGCGCATGCATGTATTCTTAAGAGGAGACGTCACCCTCATTGACTTGACAGTGTTATTGCAATTTTTTTAAAATAAAATAAAAGTAACTACAAATATTTTATATTAATATTTAATATTACACAACACATGTATACATTTTTTTGGATGTCCCCTCAACCTAAGCGGGTCCCAATATGACATAAACGGTCGCGTCTTTGCCTCGCCCCTTATCTCACTCCTCTTTGTTGATTTTTCTGAGGTGTTTGTGGTCTGTTCTGACTCGCTTGATTATGAGATGCTTGATGTGATGGTCATGGTACATCAGGATCATAATCTCATCGATCATTTTCGCCCCATTGTGTTGTGCTTCCAAAGAGATCGGTGCCCATGTTTTTGAAGTTTGGTCTTGTTGGTTGGGATATGTGTGGGTGGTGGGGTGGTTGATAGTATTAGGATGTTGAATCGTGATGGAAACGAAGCAACAATTCTTGTGGTGTATGAAATATGTATGATGGTTGGGTACTTCGATGGTGTGATGTTTGACTGTATGTAGGTTGGGTGGTATGGTAAGAAGGAGATGCATCATACATGTCTTGGGTGTTGTGGTAGGATGAGGATGGTGCATATTGTTGGTGGTGGGTCGGGTTATGCTCTTGGTATTGTGTTTGTGTGTGTGGCATGAATTGATGACGAGTTTGATTGAATGAGGTGGTGTATGGTTGTTGGGTTTGAGTGGGTTAACATTGTGGTTGGGTTTGGTATTGTTGAGGGGTTGGTTCTTGGGTTTGGTATTGTTGAAGGGTTGGTTGTTGGGCGTATGTTACAGCTCTTTGGCGTGGGTCGATCAAATAAGTCTCTTGAGACAGAAACAAATTTGTTGAAACCGATGTGTACCATCTCAAATATTGGAGCGTCGGTTTTAAGTCATCTTGCAAGATCGGCTCCCTTAGGACCAATTCACGTCTATGTCTCCATTGACGACATTAATTTTTAGCGGAGTCTCTAAAATCGTTAAATCCCCGTTGGTCGTCAATTTTGAGTAGAAGCCATTGGCCCAAACATGTTGGGGGTCGGGGATATCCTGTTGCATGTCGAACTGTAGCTTCACACGATCACTGTGGTGCATCTCCACAGTAGTGAACCTGATGAGTGCTGTTTTTGCAGTCCAGACTTCAACATCATGAGGGTTAATCTCATGGTCGAGATCCTTATACGGCCTCCATACAAACTGTAGAGTAAAAAAAGTTATATAAAATATTAAACTTAATTAAACTATTGAATGCGTTGTATAAAATATGTAAGTTTAATACCTCTTCGGGTCCAACATGGTCAATAAGATTTCGGTAGACTACTATTGCGTTTATAGGGGATTTGTTGTAATTCATCCCAGGAACAGACCACTTACATAGAAAAAATGGGTAATAAATTAATACACTACATGTCTCGGTATATAATATGTAAAATTTATGGTTTTGTAATCTTACTTTGTAGCAAAGGGGAAGACGAACGACCTTGTGTTGCGGGGGGCGAGTGTCAGCATTCTCGACCAGCACCATGTCTGGAGCAAAAAGGCGCAAGAATAGAAAGAACAACTATTGTTCGATGCATTTTTACACAAAGAACTATATATATGGTCCAAAACAGTTGAACCCCAACTATATATGTTTATTTTATCAAATTGTCTTAACAAGGATAAATACATGATATTAACAGTATTACCCGTTGTTTCAGGAAATAAAAAATGGCCAAATAATATCATTATGTAACACCGAGCTTTTACAATGTTTTCTTGCTCGGTAGAGTTTTCGGTTATTATGAGACTACTATGATATTCTCTAAGAAGACGAAGATTAATACTTTGGCCTCTTGACCCTTGTTCAAATAAAGAGACTCCCAAAAGTTCCTCGCATATGGTGTTGTCTTGGTTGACTCAGCCATTGATAGCCTTACCATCGATCGGTAGACCGAATAACATCTACATGTCCTCTAGTGTGACTGTACATTCACCATATGAAATATGGAAGGTGTGAGTTTCGGGTCTCCATCTCTCCATTAATGCGAGAATTATTTTATAGTCAACATGGTAATTGACTATGTTGAGTAACAAACCAAAACCGACACGTCGTAAGTCGATTCAATTTGAACGTCATAAGGGACATACTCATGGATACGACAACGAAATATTTTAACATCCTATTAAAAACATGAATTACGTATAAGAAATACAATATCTACGTATAACAATCATAAGAATTAAGGAACAAAAAATTGTCGGTAAAAAATAGGCATTAAGGAAAATACACTTACAAAGATTTCAATGTTGTTCGGAGTTCCTCTATGTTGGTCATCCATGGTCAAGAGAGACATTTTTTCTTGATTACTCTTGTGTTGTTGTTGAGACTTCAAGAAAGAAATAATGTATGTGTTATGATTGTGATGAAAATATAGGGTGAATGTTACATGTATTTATAGGAAAATCTTGAAGAATACTTTGCATGCAAGTTATACACATAGGCGCCACACTAGTGGCACATGCTCTTCCTTAATGCACATATGCACCACACTAGGTAACACATGCTCTCTTTGATGCACATAAGCGCCATTCAACATGGCTTGTTGCTTTTTGCATGCATACAAACCTGCAGCGTGGCAGGGATCAGATGGAATGCATGCAATTTTTATTGTTCAATGACAAGCCACCCTAGGTGGCATATGAATGCAAAAAAAGGAGGATAAGACACCCTAGGTGGAACATGCATGCAAAAAGAGGAGGATAAATCACCCTAGGCGGCGCATGCATGCAAAAAGAGGAGGATAAGCCACCCTAGGTGGCGCATGCATGAGAAAATAGGAGGATAAGCCACCCTAAGAGGCGCATGCATGCAATATATCAGTCTATTTAATCGTTTGTGTAGGGTGCATTAATAGTATACATCCATAACTCACAAAAAACATACCTCAACAACATGGATCATTCACAAAATTATACTATTGTTGCCCATATTAACAGTGAGACGTTCAACTGCGATATCTTAGGTTTTAATTTCCGTAATACCAATTTTATCCGCTTTCGGATAAACAAGAAATCAGGTTTTTCACGCATCAAAGATAGAGTAGAATCCAAATTGCAGTGTGGTCTAGTTTACCAAATTATTTACAAGTCCCCATTTATATTTGACAACAACCAAGTCAAATTTTATCAACTTAAGATGCTCGACGATGATGATGTTCGAAACATGTTTCGAACTCATGAACAATTCGGGTTCGATGAGATTGAGCTGTATGTTTTATTACAACAACCAGATCAATCTCAGATGGTAGATCCTTCTCAAGACTTTGAAGAAGAGGATGAATCTGAATCTGACGAGGACGATGTTATTGACCAAGAAGAAGAAGATGATGAGGCAATGATTGATTTTATGGTCAATGATGACACTGCAGATCAAGAGTATGAACATGTACCTGCAAGACATGCGTACGACCCTCCA